CCTTCAGCGTTAAGGTATCCCTGAAGAACGGGGTAAATGACGCCAGGGATGATACCCGCGAGGAAACCGACACCTGCGTATTGAGCCAGCAGTCCGATACATTCGACCGACAGTAGTTCAAGCGGTTTACCCTCACGCAAGGCTCCGTTCTCCATGTCTGGCGGACCCTCACGCAACGCTCTGTTCTCCATGTCTGGCTTGAATGGCTTCGCGGGGGTGTTGTGGTTGGCATACGATGGATCATCCGGATTTCGGTGGATACTGGAGATGGCGCTTAGCCGCTCCATGCCGATGGAGTGTTTGCTCACGTCGGCCATCCTGGTGTTCCCAGAGAGCTGAGGCGGGGAGGGTGTTTGTCGGAGACGATAAATTCAATTATGAGCTCGCCAAATGGCTGGTGGTGCAGTCACGACTGGCTTGGTGATCCAACCGACCATGCACGGATCTCCGACGGCGGTTGTTCTGCCATCGTGCAGGCAGTATCAATTCGAACAAGGGGTGTCCATTGATTGTGCGGAGCAGCACAACAGGAACTAAACCCATAGCGTAGCCAGGTCGAAGAGCGGGAAGAACACATGAGTGACTGTGCAACCAGAGAGAGCATCGCTTGCCAAGTGTAAAGTTCATCATTTTGTTGTCTGCGAGTTGGGAGTCACACAGCGTAACGCCGTAAGTAATCTACTGTACTAGGTTGCCCCAGCCACAACAGCGACGAGATGGTCCCGCCGATCGGCGATCCGGCTAGGGATCCTTTCGCTGCCACTTTGCATGGTCTCTGGGACTGTAGCACAGCTCAAGATCGCCAATTGATTCCTTCAAAACGGATTAATCGAACAACTCCTCCCTCTTCACATATTCTTAGTTTCATAAACGACTAGTAATATCACTTATTGAAATCTATAATAGCCAAAACGCTACTAAGTACGGCAGTATAATTGTTCGCAATCTCTGTATAACCTAAATATAGAGGTTTTAGTGTTGTCGAAATCATGAAAGAGGGAGAACAAAGGGGCGCCAAATTTGCCACAGTAAAAGCGCTTGGGTGGTTGCAGGCGGCTGCACATTGCAGCAGCCGTTGCTGCACTGCACTGTCGTCTGCAGGTCGACGTTGTCAGACATCGCGAGCCGTGACGAGAGAACCATCGTCTGGCGGCAGTTCATGAATCCATTGGACACGAAGCCCTATTGGAGATGAAAGCACGCCGCTAGCACACGCTTCATGTCTCCGAGACCGGCTGGTTGTGTTCTTGACAGGAGCACTTCCGCGCGAGGAATTGTTGCGGAGAAAGTCATTGAATTAACAGTAAGCTCACCACGCCGCCACTACGGTAGATTAGAAGAGCCATTCTTTAAAGACGCCCTCCTCTCCATTCATTGATTTGCATCAAGAATGGGCGTGCGTGAGGAACGCAACGCTCTCTTGTCCGGCGAAGCGGGCGAAGGGATCGTACCGGTGGAATACGGCGCGGTGCCGAAGGCTCAGGCTTGCAGCAGCGACTTAGAGGATGGCGCACTCAGAGAAGGACCACCACCTGAATTGTTGTCCCCCGAGATCTTAGCGCTGCTAATGCAGTACGCAGGTATTGGCTTCGTCAACGGAGTACTACCAGCCGTGATCTACCCTGTCCTGCAAGGATATCTCAACGCTGAAGGAACCATCGTTGTGTCCGCAACGTTGTTGGTGCAACTACCGTGGTCATACAAGGTGTTTCTTGGAGTTCTGAGCGATTGCTTCCCGATCGGTGGCTTCCGTCGACGACCATACATGCTGATAGGATGGCTGCTGTGCTGCTGCATGTTATTCATGATGGCGGGTTTCCCCGAGGCTGAACCATACTACGGAGACCCAAGCATGCATTTCTCCAGCCCTGACGAATGGACGGAAGCTCAACGCAAGAGTATTAACCCTGACGCGCCTGACGCAGCAGGAAAATACGTGATCCCCATGATGATGGCCGCCTTCGGATATTTGCTAGTCGAGGTTCCCGCAGATGCCGTAACTATCGAGTACTCCCAGCGTGAGCCAACCGACAGCCGTGGACATCTACAGTCGTGGATCCACAGTCTTCGTATGGGATTCAGCGCATTGGGAGCCCTCGTCGTTGCAGTAGCGTTTAATGGCGTCGAATATGGCGGCTCCTTCGACTTCTCGCTCACATTTCCGCAGCTAATGTTCTTCATGGGCTGCTTATGCTTACCGCTCGGACCTGCTGCCTGGTTCCTTGTGCACGAGAACGAAGTAGAGCCACCTAAATTCAAAGCATACATGGCTCAATTCTGGAAGGTGCTACAGAAGCGAGCAGTATACCAAGTGGCAGCATATAAGTTCTTCTCGGGAGTCTTCAACAACTTTAACATCGTGTCTTCGAGTAACATCAAGCTGTACTGGGTCCACGCCACACCGTTTAACGCTAGCATTATGGCCATCGTAGGGACATTGACGTACGCTGGAACATTGGCTATCATGGCTCAGCGCGGTCTACGCTGGAACTGGCACGTTGCTATCGCCGCTACGGTCATATTCGGTGTTGTCACGGACTGTATGATGACGATGCTAGTGACATGGGACATCATTCGCAGCCAGTGGTTCTGGCTCGGTGTCCCCGTTATCGGAGAGGTTCCACATGCTGTCCGCTTCATTGTGAGCAACTATATCGTTGTCGAGCTCATTGAACAGGGAACCGAAGGCGCGTTATACGGATTGTTGACGACCACAAACCACGTTGCTGCCCCGTTCGGCCGCACGACTGCCAAGATCATCAACGCTCGCTTCCACGTCTGGAAGGACGATATCCTGGCCGATACGTACGAGACGCGCCGCGATGTGACCTACACGATCTGGCTCTGCTACGGTATGAAATTGGTGTCGCTGATATTTTTGCCGCTACTGCCGAACCAGAGGGATAGCACGCAAGCGCTACGTCGCCAAGGAGGCGTGAGCAAGCGCAAGGGCATGTGGATGGTCGTGATCCTCATGGTTGCT